TTCCTTCTCAGTGGATTTTCTTTTATAAAAACAAATCATTGTTTTCCACCAGTAAAAAACAGGGCATACAAGCCCTATCTCTTTTCATGTTCAAGTTTGGTCATAATTAGAGAATTTTTGCGTAAGGAATTCCTAATGAATATAAACAACCACATACTCTTGTAATATTGTAGAGTTTTGTTAATAAATTAATGCATGTTGTTTGAATGAATATTTTACCTCATTATGCTTCAAGAAATGTTCTTTTACCATCTCTATTCTAAATCAGTATCACCTCTCTAACTACTCATATCACAATAACCTTATTTCATCAATAAAAAGTTACACTTAAATCTTGATGCCTTCCTCCATCATGTAGCACCAAAAATCCCAAGATTCCAACCCTGACAATGCTCCCATACTGTTCGTAGCACAGTGCACCCTCCAGAGTTGCTAATTTTCTTGATTTTTGACCCAATCATATCCCATTTATGGCACCACTTAAAACCCTAAACTCCTGCGTATTTTCCCAACAAATTCTGCATCAATTGATCCATCAAATTTGGTCCCCAACCTGATGATTTGTTGATCTCCATAGATAATCTACACTCTATCTTAATTTCTTGTAGCTAAGACAATTGTAAAAGAGAACCTTTTCAACAAAATTTCATCAACATGCTCCAAGAATCTTTGTTAACCTTCAACAACCCTGTAATTCCAATTTTACCGTACCTCAATCCGCGTTAGCAGATTTGTGTAAGCCCCTCCTACATCTCATTTTTCCTATTTTCTCTGAACACAAAAAATCACTAGTTTATGGAAAGAGAAATATCCCTTTAAACTCCAAGAGCATTTATCAACAGGGTAGCAAAATGATGATGGTGATGGTTTTAGTAAATTAAAAAAAAAAAAAAAAACTAACAACAACAGCGATGCTAATGTAAATAATTGTAGAAGTAGTATCACTACCATCACAATAGAAGCAGAAGCAATACCTGATGAAGGTGATGAACCTTCTGAACTCGTAAGTGTAGACATCAACAGCTTTTTCCAGGACAGCAACTTGATCCCTGGTTCTGATAAAATATACACCACAGCACAAAGGCAGAGAAGCAACCCATGGAAAATGTCACAACAGCACTAGCTAAGATACAGTAAAACATATATCTAGCTTATGACAACATGCTACATCTAAACACTACAAAACTCAGTAAAGGCAGCAAGTTACGCACAATTTTTTAGCCTCGAATCTCCCCCAAGCAAGTTGAATAAATAGTCTAATCAAGAGAACCATCGCTGTCAGACTGTATAAAGATGGTCCGTAACGCTGTCTTTGCTCTTCCATGGGCCTGTACATTTAAGATTTTGATCAAACATTATCAATTAGGTACCAGATTAATGATTATTTCCGAATATCTATTTTGTCTGACAAGTGGCACTGAGCATATACAGTGATGTAAAGAGGAGTACAAAATACTTCCAAAAAGATAAAGGTGCATACCCATTATCATCATTTATTTGGCGAATGAAGTCTAGTAAAACCTGCATCACATGAAGGGATGAAGGCATCACGTCAGTTGCATGTGAACATTGATGCTTAAGCATGTAAAAAATGCCCAGGGGAAACAAAATTGATATTGCTAACCATCAGCTCCCAAAAAGATGAGACCAAGGATATGTTTGGTACAGGGGTCAAGTTGTGAATTTTCACCTCCTTTACTTATGTTCGGTACAAGTTATAGGGAACGAGCTAAACATTAACCTCATGGGGAGGGATAAGGAAATTTTTTGAGAGGGAGATTTTGGGTTCTGTGTCCTTTCTTTCTTTCTTTCCTTTTTTTTATCCATTTAATACTATTTTTATTCTTTTTTTCCACATCTATTTTGGACCACAACTATAAATTATCTATTTTCTTTTTACACTTGCATTTAACCTAAAATTTGATTTTACCTTCACTAAGACCTACTATTATCTCTTATTTTCCAACCTCCAACTGAACATCCTTAACACTTCATCCCTTAATCCTTTTTCACACCTTCAACACTTCACTTTTAAATCTGTCCCCCTTAGCATTCCCCTTCAAAATTTTCACCCCATACCAAACACAACCTAAAAGGAAATACTTCGATGCCCCCCCCCCAAAAAAATAATAATAATAATAAATAAATAAATAAATCAAACAACCTAACAACCTAGGCCAAAAGGGAGGTGAGGAGAAGGTAGGATTGTACCTGGGGAACTCCTACCAAGTACTTCACAAGAGTTTTATATACACCTGTTGCCGAACCAAGCTGTGCTAACTGTCTCCTCCTGGTAGGATAAGCATTTGGATCAGAACTGTATAACCCCTTGCATCATTTTTTTTCAATTACAAATAAAAAATATATACTGAACAATATGAAATGTCATGCTGGCACACAACAAAGGATAAGACATCCTCCAAATAACCAAAAAAGAAAAAGCTAAACAAAATGAAAACAACAAAGCTTTCTGATCTCTCGGATTATCTTCTAATGAAACCACTTCAAAGATAGCGGAGCAGAGCACCTAAGTACTGGCAATCTGTTAAACAAAAACCAAGGTGCCTCACCTATCCATTTGTTGTCTCCACAACAGAGCGTATCGATCACGTATACTTCCACCAGAATTAATGAGCGCATCAACCTCTGCTTGCTTATTCCTTTCTGACCTCTCCCTTTGCTGTCTGATAAGAGTTCCCCGAAAATCTTGAGGCATGTAGGTCATGACTGAATGAAAGCAAGTTCTCAAACACCTTAGCAAACATCAGTACAAAAATCCTGGCAGTGGCCTAAACCATTCACCTCAGCTGGTATCTTGAATAACCAACAAGATAGGTTGAAAACCATGCATAACTATGATCCCCATGCCCTATCACTAATTAATGAATCAATTCTATTCCTTTGGCAGAGGATAGCAGCCTGCTTGTATCAAGGTAATCCTCAAACAATTCTCAAATAAAAACAGAAGAAAGAAGAGACCAAGTCAACAGTTTCATCTATTTTCTCCACTCATAAACTCAAAGTTTGTTAGTGATCTAATTATGAAATCTGAGCGTTTAAGAAGTACAGTATAACTTCTCAAATTAAACTCAGTTCTGTGATTTATATCAAAAGTTTTCCTGTTACAAACTTAATCTAGACTAATTATTAGTATTGAGTACATGTAATTCACCATTTTAAGATGTTTTGCACTCAGAGATAAAAATTTACTAGTGACTAAACAGCCTACAACCTTTATCAGCAACCTGCTAGCAAGAATACAAAAGGAAAACTCTGATTGCTAAAAAGTAAACTGCTGGCAAGTAACCCTGATAAGCTAGCATATTTCTAACCTAATGTCCCATTTCAGAACCGCATTGAAATTTTTTTCAGATATTGCAAAAACTAATATGAATTAGTATAATCCTGTATTAACCCAAACTCCCAAAGACAAAAAGATAACTGCCGTGATGCCATCTCTTCCAAGGCACTTAAAATCAATCTCAGTGACCACATAAATCTGATTATAAAACCAAGCATGCATTGAATTCTGGTGTACCTTAAGAAGACCATTCATTTATTTAATGCTAAGGTCAAGATTGGTGCACCGAGAAGAAATGGTAAATGGGATCATGATTGTGAATAAGATGTATCGCGGCCACAGAAGTTAAAAAAAGGAAATAAAATGATCAATTTAGAAAACTCAAAGCATTTCAACAGAACATATGAGTCAACATAGGCAATGCAGCATTCTTCTAAAAGATTAAAGTGGAAAATAATTGATGCATGGAGAAATAACCTGTGTTGAACACATGATCAGAATTCACAGCTTGGAAATCTTGCAATACGTTCAAAGTCTTCTGAAACTTATATCTCATGTTGTTAAAAACAGTAGAGAGTTCACTGTCATCTTGAAGCTACAATTACATAACAAATAATGTAAGATAATGCAAAGAATTTGTGTAAAAAATAAAAGAAATTTATATAAAAAAATATATGGAGGCTTACGGGCTGAGGGCAGCGAGATTCATTAAGCAAAAAGATAATTTCTTCCATGTGTTCTCGGTTCTTCCACATATTCTCATCAATTTTATGAGGAGACTCTCCTTCAGATTCTTTTAGCAATAAGCTTTCATCTAAAAATCAATCACCACCCACCCAAATAAATAAATAAACTGAACAATTATTGTTGTTATAATTATTTTACAAAAAAGGGGAAAAGAAAGGGAGTGAACCTTGTGAAGAGGGAGGAGACTCCTTGAGCAAATCGGAGGTCATGGAGCGGATCTCCGAGGAAAGGCGAGAAACGTCGTCGGGGAGAGGGGTAAAAGGGTATTTGTCGTAATAAGATGCCAGGAAAATCCTGGTTATCGGCACCAGACCCTCTGTTGATGCCATTTCTAATCTAATCTGATCTCCAGGAAGAAAAACTACAACTCTGCTGATTTGAGTCAAATAACCAAACCCAATTACTTTCAGAGAAATAAAAAAAAAAGCGGTGAATTTTCGATCGAAGAAGATCGAAAATAATAATTCAATTAATTAAATGGATTTCAAGTCCAAGCTGCTCCGACCATCCTCCCTCTTATGCCGTAGTATATTCCTTTCTTTCTTTCTTTTATATCCTTTTCCTTTGTTTTATTTTCCTTTTTATATATTTCCATGTTAAAAATATTTTAAGGAATTAAATTTAAAAGAGGCGGCGTGTAGTGCAAGACTGTCGCTTCTCGCTTCGCTTCAATTTTCCGTCATTGGAAGGTCGTTACTAACAGAAGAGTTGCCGAGCGTTGCTTTTCTGTTCTTCTTTTAACTTTTTATTCAAGGCTCCTCCTCCCTCCTATTGATCAAAGTAGAGTCAGGCTCTGGCATAAAACAGCCCAAGTACAGCTGAGGCCAGAGGGATTTATTTGTTGGCCAATAAGCCCAATTATATGCCTCTGGATTTGTAATAATAACCGAGCAAAGCCCATAGTCCAACTGGGGAAAAGAAGAGAAGAGCGCGAAATGGAATGGAGATATAAAAAACACCTTCGACAGAGAGACGTTAGAATATACACACCCAATTTTTCTTTATTTTCGAAAACAAGCAAAAATAAAAGCAATGGGTGGTGGTGGAGCTGGAGCTGGTTCAGACATTGCACTGCCTCCCGAGAAGGTGAAGATTGTAGCCACATGTTTGGTGGTTGCGGTTGGCGTATCCCTCTTAGGGTTATATCTCAAGTCCAGCGCCGAATGGAGGTCTAATTGGTCATTATCTTTAAACAACAACAAGAAGAAGAAGCCAATTCGAGTGTACATGGACGGCTGTTTCGACATGATGCACTACGGACACTGCCACGCCCTCCGCCAAGCACGCGCCCTCGGAGATCAATTGGTGGTGGGCGTTGTTAGCGTCGACGAAATTATAGCCAATAAAGGTCCTCCAGTGACACCTGTCCATGTAAGGATGATTATGGTGCATGCGGTGAAATGGGTGGACGAGGTGATTTCAGATGCGCCATACGCTATAACTGAAGACTTCATGAAGAAGCTTTTTGATGAATATAATATTGATTATATTATTCACGGCGATGATCCTTGCGTCCTCCCTGATGGCACCGATGCTTATGCGCTCGCTAAGAAAGCTGGCCGTTACAAACAGATTAAGCGCAGTGAAGGCGTTTCCAGCACGGATATCGTTGGTAATTTATTTATTTATTTATTTATTTTTTTAAAAAGATGTGTGTGTGTATTTCATGGAATTATAATTGTTGTTGTAGTTGTCGTCGTCGTCGTGGATAAATAGGTCGCATGCTTCTGTGTACTCGAGAGAGATCCATTAGTGACAACCACAATCAATCGTCATTGCAAAGGCTGTTTAGCCATGGGCACAGCCAGAAACTTGAAGACAGTGGATCTGGAAGTGGAACTCGGGTTTCTCATTTCCTTCCTACTTCACGCAGAATTGTACAATTCTCCAATGGCAAGGGATCCAGTTAGTTACTCATCATTTTGCCAAGAGCAGTAATTTCGTTATTAGTTTTCCACATCTTAAGTGATCCCTTGCTTTCTGCACTTTATTGGGTCTTGCTACCAAGAGCGGTAAACCTTGCACCTTTTCTTGTGTGGAATCATTTTCTGCAACTAACTGGGTGGCGTTCATTTCATCTCAAACAAGCACTAGGCATTATGCAATGCTTGAGTCCTCATTTGTTGTGCAACTTTTGTGCCTTTCACAAAAGCTAGGACCTTGTAACCTGTTACCCACCATTTGTTCAAATAGAAGCTGGTAAAGTTCTATCGTAAAAGTGGATTACTTTACCGATCACAATGAAACAAGATTTATATCTAGTTTGTCTTTAATGCGTTCTCCATATTCTAAGTGAATTTCTGCTGTTTTTATGCAAATATTATCATATCCACAATGCCATTTCTCAACCAATTTTCTACACAAGTGATTTCAGGGGCCAGGGCAGGATGCTCGCATAGTTTATATTGATGGTGCGTTTGACCTCTTCCATGCTGGACATGTCGAGTTGTGTTATGCTTTTCCTTTGTCTTCTCATGCCCGTCAAGTGGCTAATTTTTTGGACTTCAAACTTTTCTTCTTCTGTTCGTATGGAATGAATTCAATCTACCTCTGATTTCTACATCTTCTAGTTATTCTTCCCCAATTACGTGTGAAGTGCATCTTTTTATTATCCATTTGCACTTGCTTTTTTTTTGACTCATTCATGCTTGTAATGATCCTCTGACTAGTTTAAGAAAAATGGAAGGAAAGATGAGCTACTTGCAAATCATGTCAACCTTACACTAGGGGTTGGGAGTGAGCCTTGTGTTGTTTTCTCTGAGCATTGATATGTTAGAGAATCATGTTTAAGATGATGTTGGTTGCTGATCAGCATGGTTTTTCATGGATAAACCAATATAAAGAAACTTGTAAATTAGATTGTTGGGAGAGACATTTTGAACTCAATGTTTTAAATTAGAAGCAATAAAGCTGTAATATGTTGATTCTAGTTTGTCATGAAAAGAAATGGAACATGGTGAATGATGGCTCGGAGGTTGGAAAAATTGATTTGTTTCGCTATACTCTCAATATTTATTAAGAAGGCTGACGTTGATTAGGAAGCGGTGCATAGACCAGTGAAAGTTGGATAAATCCAGAAAAAAAGATCATTGTTGTTGTTTGATTAAGGGTATTTATTGGTATAATTAGATGATTTGAGCTTATAATTATATCATACCTAACTTTTAATATTTTATAAATTGTAAATTTAACCCATTTAATATTTTTTGGACACAAGCAGGTTGGATATATCAGGGTGAGTTAATTTTTTTATAAATATTACATATATTCATAAGTTCGGATTATATTGCTAATTTTATAAGTTTGTATTTAGAGGTTGATCTATGGTATGTACTGTACGTGTTATAATATCTTCAATGTTAGGTCTAATTTTAATACTTTAGACCATTATTAAATTCTAGTGATCATCCCTAGCAAAGAGACGAGCTTTTTTGCATCATGTTAAATAAATCTAATAGCAACCTCACTAATAATAACTTTAAAGTCAAAATATTTGTAAATAAAATAAAAATAAATGGTCAATACGCTAACTATCAAATATAAAGACAAAAAGAGTCCAGAGTATACGAGTTGGGTTGGGTTGATCGAGTTTTAAAAATAATGACCTGCCACCCGACTTGTGATATCCATTTCTTTAGGTTTTTTCACCTACTATCATTTATAATATTTATTGTTTTTAGGTTTTTTGACCTACTATTATATGTAATATCCATATTATTCAACTTTAATGGGTTAAGTAGAGTTAGATAATGCAAATATTATAAATATACCAAGGTTTTTTTAACATCCCTAGTTTGATGTTTGCTAAATCATGAGCCTTATGTTTTAAGAATGCTATAAAATAGAGTTATGATCTACGAACCTGGTGTTGGCTTAGGAAAATAGAGGGGTAATAAGTTCAAAAGTCAGTGCAGGAAGGGAAGGATGCTTTGATAGATGAGTGAAAAAAAAAAAAAGAAGCTTAGTATATGTTAAAAGGGGCACTACTCGGTGCTGAAACAAGGGAAACATCCATGTGCCTTGCACTTGTGGTCACTACTCGGTGCTGAAACAAGGGAAACATCCATGTGCCTTGCACTTGTGGTTGCTCAAATTATGTTAACAGTTAAAAAAAATAAATTAACAAGAGATATCGTAGTAACTGGTGACTAGTAGACTGGAAAGAAAGTTTTTATATGATAATGTGCTGGGTTGTATGATATGGTGCAAAGAATTTTGTCCAGTTCATTCCATCTAGCTAAGCTTAGTTGGCTAAAGTGAGTGGTGTGTGCCTCTATGTGAATAATGACCATTATCTATTGTTTAGATTCTCAAGCTTCCTCGAGCACTTAGAGATTTTCTTGTTGAAATACACAATGATCAGATAGTCAGGTAACGCTCTGTGTTCTGATATATTAACACCCTATTTCCAAACTTCCTGGTTTTGTCTTTGCTTTTTTGGTATTTACTTTGCTGCTTATATATTTATATTATGTGCCATATGCTAGCTTGTTAAAAAAAGGAAAAAGGAAGTGTTTTGCTTCAAGCGCTAGAAAATAGCCTCTTGTTGTTGGGACATTCAAGCATTCAAACACATATCAATTTACATGGTTCGGTAACTTGCCTACTCCACGGAACTACTGATTTGTATTAATTACTCAAAGAAACAATACAAATAAAGAGGAGAAGAAAACTCTTCTCAACTCAACTCTACACTCAAGCTCTCTCTACTACTCTTTCTCTCTCGGTTTTTCACTCTACTTACACAGCTCTTGACTAGTATATATATACTAAGCTAAGAGTGAAGGGCATAAATCATGCCATGATTTATACCCACCGTTTGCCTTCACTTTGTACTAAGTGGAGAGTAGGTATTCCCACTAAATGCATAATAGAGGTAGGGCTTTGTTTGTCTCCATATTGCTAATAATCTCCCACTTGAAGACAACTAATGAAATTATCTTTTATCCTTGAAGACCAACTAAAATTGTACACAACTTCAGTTTATCAAGTATAACTCCTTTGGTTAACATGTCAGTTGGATTCTTACTTCCACAGATCTTTTCTAGCAGTAGTTATTCATCGTCTAGCAATTGTTGGATTAAGTGATATTTGATCTGAATATGCTCAATCCTAGAGTGAAATGCTGGATTCTTGGCAAGGAAGATTACACTTTGACTATCGCTATACAAAGTACCATTTCCATTCATCTAGTCCAATTCTTTCAGGAAACTCTATAGCTGATGTCTTCTTCCAAGTGCAGGAGTGTCGAAGTAATAAATAACCCGGCAAGACCGGGGTCGAACCACAGGGAGGTTATTTGTACAAATTATAAATAACAATAATACAACAACAATAACAATAACAACAACAACAACAACAACAACAATAATAATAATAATAATAATAATAGTAATAATAGTAATACTAATAATAATAATAATAATAGTAGTAGTAGTAATAGTAGTAGTAGTAGTAGTAGTAATAATAATAAAGAAAGAGAAGAAGAAGAAGATGATGAGAACTTGAAGATGGAAAATTAATGTAAGAATTAAACAATAATAATAACAAATGTCAAGGTTAAAGGTTCCACTAATGGTATATCAAACAAGTATAGTATAAACTCTTATTATTGAATTGGAAACCACACACAAAGGAGGTTCCAATCAGATTATATATTGTTAACATGATTACATTAGTCATCTTATTCAATTAATGCTAATACTTGTAAATCTCGTCAAGCATTCATGATTATAACTTATGTTAACAACAAATCAAGTTCCTTTCATAGCTCAGGTGTCGGTTATACCATACATTATGGGCTATGAAAGTGCTAAGCATTTGTTGTACCAAGTGTTATACAACATAAATCAAGATTAGTCATTTAACAAGCAAAGTATTAAAGAGTGAACAAGATAACAAATATAAAACATGTTAGTATCAAATATTAAAGTCCATATTAAGTTTACATTATACTTATTCTTACACCATTAGTGTAACCTTTTCACCTTGACATAACTAACTTAGCTAGACATAATGAAAGAAAGTAAAATAGATAAACAAAATAAGAACATAAAAGTTAACTAAGTAAAGGAAAGGAAATGAAAGGCATAAACTTAATATTAATGAAAGCAAAGCATAAATATTACAAAAAATACAAAGAGAGAAAGGAAGAGCATGATCTTGATCTGAAAACCAAGATGCCTAAATGCATGGCAAATGCCTCCTTTTATAGGCCAAAATTGGGAACTATTGATTTGATGACTAATTGATAAGTGGGTGGCCAACTTTTGACTTGGTGACAATCCTTATCTTCTCTTGTCTGCCCAAAACGTCATTGATAACGTCTGACATAGCAACAATGATCAGCCTGACATCTTGTATATCCCGAACTACACATGAAGTTGTCAAACTTCTTGTACCACCGTCTTGGAGCTTGTTTCAAATCATATAGGTTTTTCTTTAGCTTGCAGACTTAGTTCTCCTTTCCTTGTATTACAAACCCTTCTAGTTGTTGTATGTAAATGTCTTCCTCTAATTCACCATGAAGAATTGCTATTTTTACATCTAATTGTTCAAGATGTAAATTTTCTACAGTTACTATCTCTAGAACAACTCTGATTGTTGTGAGCTTCACAACTGGACAAAATATTTTAGAGTAGTCAATCCCTTTCTTTTGTTGAAACCCTTTTACAACAAGTCTTGCCTTAAACCATTTGCTTCCATCATGCTCAGTCTTTACTCTGTAAACCCACTTGTTTTGCAAAGCCTTCTTTCCTTCAGGTAGTATAGTTAGCTCCTAAGTCTTGTTCTTCAACAATGACTCCATCTCATCCTTCATGGCTAACTCCCACTTGCTCGAGATTCTGTCTTGTAAGGATTCTTCATAAGTTAATGGTTCACCACCATCTATCAACAAAATATAATTCAGTAGAAGTGTGAAACGTTGTGGAGGCTTTATAGTCCTTGAAGACTTGTGAATATAAGTAGCTGGTTCACTTGGCTCCGCATCTTTTTGTGTAGTAGTGGGTACAGATGTGCTTGAATATTCTTGTAAGGACTTTTGAGTTTTGTTCTGCTCGGTAACATCGGGAAGCCCTTCTAATCTGATGAATTTAGACTTTTGTGGACCTATATCTGAATCAGCCATGTTTGTTTCTACACTTGATCTGTCTTTATACAAAACTTTCTTATTGAAGTTCATGTTCCTGCTTCTGATAATCTTTCTACTTTGATTATCCTAGAACCAAAATTCAAATTCTTTATCTCCATAACTAATGAAGAAACATTTCTTGGATTTGACATCTAACTTGTTGCGAGCATCAGAATCTATATGCACATAGGAAACACACCAAAAAACTTTTAAATGACAGAGTTGTACTTCTTTTCCTTTCCATACTTCCTTAGACAGTCTAAACTCCAAAGGAACTGATGGTCCACGGTTGATCAAGTAAACTGCAATATGAACTGTATCAACCCAAAAAGTTTGAGGTAACCTAGAATGCAACCTCATGCTTCTAGCTAGTTCATTGATGGTCATGTTCATCCGTTCAGCAATGCCATTCTGTTGTGGTGTGTCAGGAATGGTCTTTTCCATTTTGATACCTTTAACAACGCTGTACTCTTTGAAACCTTCATTAATGTATTCTTCTCTATTATCAAATCTTAACCATTTCAACTTCAGACCTGATTCAGTCTCAACCATAGCCTTCTATTTCTTGAATATTTCAAACACATCAGATTTATTTTTCAGAAAGTAGACTCATACCTTCCTACTGAAGTCATCAATGAAAGTCACATAATATCAAAAACCTCCAAGAGATGTTACTAGAGCTGGTCTCCATAAATCTATGTGTACTAATTCTAGCTTTTTTGGTCTTAAGGTCCTATCAACCTTTAAGAAACTGAGCTTTTTCTGTTTTTCAAGAACATAGCTTTCACAAATGTCTAGATCAATATTTTTTTAACTCTGACAGCTTTTCCTTTGACTGAAGTATCTTCATCCCCTTTTGTCATATGGTTGAGTCTACAGTGTCATAACTGTACCTGATTTTCTGCTTTAGTAGAGGTAATAATGTCTGCAGACCTTGTGGTTATATACAGGGTGTTGGTTTTCTTTCCATAAGTCAAAACTATTACTCCTTTTGATACCTTCTATATACCTCTAGAAAAAAGAATTGAATGACGACTATCATCAAGTTGTCTGACTGAGATCAACTTCTTTTTTAATCTAGGAACATGCCTTACATTTTGCAAGTTTAATATAGATCCATTTATTATCTTGATTAGCACATCTTTTATACCTATAATATACATTGGTTGTCTATCGGTCAGATAGACTACACCGTAATCTCCAGTAATATAGTTTTGCATCATTTCATGGTGTAGTGTATAGTGGAATGAAGCACCAGAATCAAGAACCCAATCATTAATTGGACTTTGTATAGCAAGAATCAAAGCATCTTATACCTCGTCTATAGTAGCGTTTGTAGAGTCGGCTTCAGGTTTTTTTGGTTTTGTGCAATTCCTCATGAAATGACTAGGTTTACCACAATTCTAACATTCAACTTACTTTCTAGGTCGAGACTTGCTTTTACTTTTGTACCTTAATTTTGATATGCTTCTGGATAAACCTTTATCCTGTCTCCTCCCTCGAGTGTTGATGTTGAGAGCTGAATCTGAACTTGAACTTTCACCTAAGTCTTTCCTTTGCACTTCAGCTAAAATCAAGTCTCGGAAGTCATCATATTTTAGTTTGGATTTTCTGGCTGAGTTGCTTATGACTATTCTCATACTATCCCAACTGCTTGGAAGTGAAGCTAGCAAAATGAGTGCACGGATCTCATCATCAACCTCAATCTCAACAGATGATAATTGATTTGTGATGGTATTGAAGTTGTTGAGATGCTGTGTAACAGAGGTGCTTTCTGTTATCTTCAAATTGAACTTCTTCATCAAGTGCACTTTATTATTTGCTGAGGGCTTCTATACATCCTAGATAAGGCTTCCATCAATTTTGCAGTGGATTTTTTTTTGTAATATAATAAGCAACTCTTCTTGACAAGAATAGCCGGATAATGCCCAAAACTTGTCTATCAAGAATTTGTCAATCTTCTTCTGACATATTTTCTAGTTTGCTCCCCAACAGAGAAAGATGAAGTTTCTTTCTATATAAATAGTCTTCAATTTGTATTTTTCAATATCCAAAATCTGTTCCATCAAAATTTTCAATTCCAGCAACCTTTATTTCATCTGCCATTTTTAATATATCTTGGATTTGAATCTGCAAAATCTAACCTTATAGATGTGTTTGAAATGGCCAAAAATATTAGAAACGACGCTGAAATCACCCAAATCGGACTTTGGATGACTCAGATTTTATCAATCAAACTTTTAAATCACTGTACGCTGCAGATAAAGCCACGTGTCAGGAGGAATAATGTCTGCATCACACTGGATCAAAACTCAATATACTAACGTGGCTATGATGACGTGTCAGACACGTGAGCACAATAGGCCCACAATGATGACATGGCAGATCCACGTGGATTTTCTATTTGTCGTGTCTTTGCTAACGTGGCTGATGACTGTTCAGAATGGCTACTGACTGTGTGTTGACGTGTTGGGTCAACCAGATTCAGTTGCAGAGATTCGGGCTTAGAAGACACGTGGAGCGCATGAGGGCGCGTTGGTGTGCGAGGACAGTGCTGTCGTTGGCGCGTGTGGGCATGCAGGACGCCGGTTCTTTGCCGGGTTTTCACCAGTGGATTCGTCTCGTCTTCCCCTACACGATGGTATGTTTAAAAACATGTTTTGAGAACTTTGATTTTTAAGATTAGATCAAACACCCTCTTTTTTAAGAACAAGTTTTGATATTAGTTGTTGGGTAAGTTTGGATCAAACACCCTCTTTTTCAAGAACAAGCTCTGATATCAGTTGTTGGAACATTCAAGCATTCAAACACACATTAATTTACATGGTTCGGCAACTTGCCTGCTCCACGGAGCTACTGGTTTGTATTAATCATTCCAAAAAACAATACAAACAAAAAGGAGGAGAAAACTCTTCTCAACTCAACTCTACACTCAAGCTCTCTTTACTGCTCTTTCTCTCTCGGTTTTTCACTCTATTTACAAAGCTCTTGACTAATACATATATATATATATATATATATACACACACACACACACTAAGCTAGGAGTGAAGTATGATTTATGCCCATCATTTACCTCTACTTTGTGCTAAGTGGAGAGTAGGTATTCCTACTAAACATATAATGAAGGTGAAGCTTTGTTTGTCTCCATATTGCTAACACTTGTAACATTATAGGGACATTGATCTCGTCTAATGGAGACTAAAAGATACAAATAGGTAAACCTTCATGGTGTTAATGTTTAAACATTTGCTTTGGGAACACTGATGAATAAACTAGGAATGCCCCTCCTTGCCTGGGTGAAGACGTATAATTTAAGTTGAATGAGACTAACAATTCTAAACATGTGATTTGGGGACTAAAAGATACAACTAGGTAAACCTTCATGGTGTTACTGTACAAACATTTGCTTTGGGGACACTGATGAATATACTAGGAATGCCCCTCTATACCTGGGTACCTGGGTAAAGATGTATAATTTAAGTTGAATGAAACTAACAATTCTAAACCAGGAAGGATGATTTTCTGAATCATACAAAATGTTGATGACAACGAACTAGGAAAAGATGCTAATTATATTAAAAGATTTGAAGGGGCAATGCTTCACAGCTTACTGTAACACTGCTGAATGGACTATGAATGTTGGTTGTTAGTGTTGGTTTGCAATGCCTATAGTTATGTTTCCCACTAGCCCCGGGCAACAAATATGGAAGCCACGTGAAAATTTCAAAACTTGAAAAAAACAACATTCCGGAATATAAAAGGAGCCTTAGGATTCAATAAGTATATAGTGACAAGAAACTATAGTGAGACTCTTTCTTTATTCAACAAATTTTTGAAAGATCATAGGAATGAGGTGGCTAGAGGATGGGAACAGTACCCACTTTTATGATCATTAATTCAATCCGTTTCTAATAGTGCTGCTTTTTAACAACAAATTTCAGTTATATTAGTGATAAAATTATATCATAGTAGTTTCTTATTCAATTAAATAAATAGTAGAACTGACATATTGGGAACAAATTCTTAGAAGTGCTAGAATCCAATTGGAGTGCATCTCATCATTAGTAAGAAATTCAATTGGAGCGGATCAATCAACTCTAAAGAAACTGCCAAATTTTCCGACGTACTTTGATGCAGGACAAAAGAAATTTAAAGCTAAAGAAAGAGAAGAAAAAGTTATAGAAGAGAAAGAATGGGGTTGGAAAAGTCTGCAACCCTGCAAATTTTATTTAATTAATCAAAAATTGTCTAACATTTAAAAAAAATAATATCTAAATATTAAAATTCTAACTAGAATAAATAATTAGTCTTATAACCCACTAAATAAAATATCCAATAATAATTAAATCAATATCAACAAATAAACTTAAATAAAATCCTAACTTTTGTTTAGTCTACACTTAAATAAAATCCTAACTTTTGTTTAGTCTACATTTAGGCTATAGTTCTACCTTTCAGTTGTGTCAAGCACTTGCTCTGGAAATTTGAATTTGGTTGCTCACCCGATCTATGGTTGCAGATATGTAGCCTCGAGAGAAGAATACAGAGTTTTGTGAAAACATTTTATGAATACACTTGGAAGTTGTATATTCTCAGAATCATATGAGTTCTTAGAAATTTGGCATCACATGTTACTATTTGAGAAAATTTTGGATGACCTTGTGCTTCAGTGATGGCTGCTTGATTTTAAGCGCAGCTATGATGCTGCCTGGAATTATAGTGCTACGATATATAGAAATTGAAAGACCTCGAGCTTCAGTAGCTTGTTAAAACTTGTCTTCAAATGTCATCTTATTTGTGTATATTGTGTAGTGTATAGTGCTGAACTTTTATCAGCAAAGCTACAATAATATTATTGTAATTGGATAGTAGTAAAATTATATAGTCTATGAAGAATCATTCATGGATTTTACTTATTGATGCTTAATTGTTTAAGCCTTAATTAGTTGTCTAATATCTGAGAGTGTTTACCGGATGGTTTCTGCAGTTCTAAAAGAGGAGCACACCGTCCTATTATGAATCTTCATGAAAGAAGTTTAAGTGTGTTGGCATGTCAATATGTGGATGAGGTGATTATAGGTGCTCCATGGGAAGTATCTAAAGACATGGTTAGTATGTTATTAACTTATTCTTTGTTCTTGTTTTTCCATTTGTGGAATAAATAAGTGATCTTTTTTCAGTTTCTTTCATCTTTATAAAACTGCCAAGTAATTTTTCTAGACATTGCTGACTTTGTCAATATGCTTGAAATCCCAGCAGATATACATGTTACTATTCATCTGTAATGTCCTTAATATGTAATAATGCCACAAGCACACATCATATAATTTGAATAAGCAGTAACAGGCATGAGTGCCGTCTTCTTATTCCTGTCTTGGCATGTGCTGTTTTTCTCAGTTTGCAGTGGCTGGCTATTTCACTACCTGATTTGGTATTTTAAATTCTTGGTGGAACTTGAGCTAGCAGGGGAAGAGAGGATACACAGGGGATGAGAGGAGATCCTTGTCTCCTCCTTTTCTCCTCTTCTTCCTTTCTATGATGATTTTGAAGGGGTATGCTCTCTTTATAATGTTTGAGTAGAATCCAAACATAGGTGATAAGCGTGCCAACTACAACTAAACTTACAGGCGCCCATGACTACTATGGGGAACCTATGTAGATTATTTCAGTGGAAAATAAGTCAAAGCAAGATGAAGGATGGCCCTCCTCCTCCGCTCTCCCCTCTAGGAAGGGGGGAATGATCATATTATGAAGCTTTGGCCCTGATTTGGCATGCATCCTTAACATTAAACATTATAGCTTGAGCTCATCATGTTATCTAGTCTTGAACATAGTTTACTCCCCATCTGGTCTTTGCTTTCCTGAGGGAAGCAGACCTCAAACTGCATTAAAACTTGAAAATCTGGCTCCTAGCAATTCTCAGATTGTTCGATCATATTCTTGGCGCATCATGCTTAAGAAAGTTTTTGCTCTGGTAGTCACTACCAGTGTTAAGTCAGATGTGTGAGGCCTGTTATGGTTTTTATTCCTTTTCTTCTCTCTTTCTCTGCTCATAATTATGGTGATCTTTTAATTAGTCAACTTTTTGATTTCTTGTTTAGCCTTTTTTAGCTGATTTTTCTAGACTTGATGCAAATCTGCAGATCACAACCTTCAACATCTCTTCAGTTGTCCATGGGACAGTTGCAGAGAACAATGACTTTCTGAAGGTAAATCATACATGTATCTAGAAGCTCAGCAGGTCTGAAAACAGACAATCACCTACTAATTAAGAAGTTGCTTACATGCTTCTCTTTAGCCTTGCAGGAAAAAGACAATCCTTATGTTGTGCCAATCAGTATGGGTATCTTCCAAGTTTTGGATAGTCCTTTGGATATTACAACCACTACGATAATTAAGAGGATTGTATCAAATCATGAAGCATATCAGGTTCACCTATTCCCCTATCATGCTATCTTCTGTTGACAAATTGTAGAGGAGTCTTTTATAGAGACATACTCACAAGAACAAATTGTTTCTTAAGATTGGGAGATCATTTTGGAGCTACAGGGATTGAATGCTTATTTAGTGCGTGCTTATTCTGGTTAAAGCTCACAGAAGTGTATCTTTGCTATGCAGAAACGTAATCAGAAGAAGGCAGCAAGTGAGAGGAGGTATTATGAGGATAAAGCTTATATATCTGGTGATTGACTCTACGCCAAGCCTTATGGGTTGTTGACTGATCGTTTACGTAGTTAGTGGTACCGCTATAAAGAAGTTACCTGAGCACCAACATCACATGCGGCCCTATAAGGTTGTGATTTGTGGTCGAGATCACATGCTATTATTTGCTTCTTTGTCAGGCAAATGATCTCTTGGAATTAGATCCAGGATACCATTAGCAAAATTGAGGAGCTGGATTGTTGAGTTTTTTAAGAAATCCACTCGGGCATTATCTGAGGCACTCTTGGTTGGACGTTCATATTTGTTACAAGTGATCGGATATATATGTTGCCCTTATGCTGTACCTAAACGCAGGCCTAGGTTGGGATTTTAAAGAATGTAATTCTTCCCTTCTCTCTCTCTCTCTCTTCGTCCCCGTGCTAGTGCTAGTCTAGCGGTTGTAAATTAACTACCAAACCTTGACGAGGGCACATTTTACTTTAGGATCTTTGCCAAATTGGCGACATTGTTTGATCGAGGGTGGGAAAAAAACATTTTTCCGCCAAGAATTTGTTAGGATGGGCTGGGTTTGAATCGGTTAGAATCGGGTAGATGGTTAGCTGCTATTGGGCGATGGAAATATGGGTGGGTAATTGCTGGTAAAGAAACGATACCCTTATTATTACTATTATTATCATATATAGGGCCTCTTGATGACCTCGAAAGAAGGTCATGGTGCCTGCGTGATTTACCTCTTTGCAATCTCTAATCGTGTGGATAATTACTTTTCTCTGGGAATCCATCCTTTCATGGAGGATAATAACTCCTACACTCAGGATTGGAAAAAACTTGCTGCTATGCTTTATATGTATGTGTGCGCGAGAAAACCATGATCATTCTGTGAAAATCAATCAAGACCTTGAGCTAATGACTCAAGAAAAGAGCATGACGGTGAAGTGCAGTAGAGAATATTTTTGGATTCTGTTGCGTGTTTTAATTAATTGGTTTATGCATGATATATAGACTACATGATGGGTTTGAATCCATATATAATTAATTAAGAACACAAAAAAGGAGAAAAGGGCTTGCTGCTGATGCGATCTAATACAATCACAAAAGCCATGATAAGGTGTGTGTCGAAACCAGGCTTTACCACCAAGCTGAACACATCATCGCTCAGTAAAATGGTAGTGTTGTTCACTCTCTTCCTAGATATCCTTGCCACTACTTCTCCGGTAGAAGTCTTAACGATCTTGCAATCTCTCGACCGGAATGATCCCTGAATCTTGAAATCTGGCATGTTTTGATCATGACGACGACCACCTAATCGTGTTCCCATGAAGATCTGTGCTACATGTTTGCGGCCTCCAGCGTGGAAATCTGAAAGCACTGACGGGCTCCTCATTGAGAACACTTTGGACGTCCTTTCACACCCGTCTTGATCTCCTCGGTATGCGTTCCACTGGTCTTGCATGCTTAGCATCTGATAACACCAACAACATAGAATCAGGCCATGACACTAGGAGTTGACATAGCAAAAATAAAGCCTTGACTGACTAGTTGATACACATACGTACCTTGGGTATCAAGGAAAGTAAGGCATTGCCAACCCCGTCCATGAGGACAAGACCATAACCATTCTTCCTGGAATAATTGTCAACCCTGAAAACTAATATCCCATGTGGGTCGAAAACAGTGAATCCATCGGTACCCTGGAAGCTCATGCTGGATCTCTTCCATACGGTGAGCATTACAGATGGATCAGCTGGTAACGGATCATTACGTTTATCATCATCATGATGAAGTGGCCGCGTCCTGCTGTCTTTGTGATTCTTAAACAACAAATGGCCATTGCATCTACTCTGATCAGAAGGATGAATCCTGGACATGGTGTGATTGATCTGTTTCAAATTAATTTATTAAATAGACGGACTATATATGTATTTGATACAATTAAGGATAAATATATAGCAGAGCGATCGAAGCAGAAGGTGAAGGGTGATGAATGCAATGCAAATATGAAGTTATTTTGCAAAATGGGGAATTGTCCTTTGTTTTATACTGGAACTTGGGATTATGATGATGGGCAACAAGAAGTACGGAGGTGGAAACAAAGACCCTTGTCTCGGATGAATGTCTAGCTCAGTGGCTTACACAACCACTTTCTCCGTAGGGTCCCTCTCTTTATGCATAAAATATGCTACTGTATGTGCCGCCGTAGCTGACTTAGTTTTCTTTTTCTTTTTTTCTTTTCTCTCGTCTGTTTATTCAATTCTTATTTGTTAACTACCATATGCATAGTAGAGTTGTAAAACGAGTAGAAGGTATGCCTTTTTTTAATTATTTTTTTTTTTTTAGATTTAAGCTTTAGAATTAGCATTCAACAGAAATTACTTTCCTTTTAAATCCATCAGGTAAAAAACACCTTCTTAAGATAGTCGAGAGAGATAACAAGTTGACACTATGATATATTTTTTTTATTAAGAGAAAAAAAAACTAACATATATATAGTATTAGACAACCGGCCCCGTTAGTTTAGAAACTATAGATTGATGGGAAAAAAGAAAAAAAAAGGTTTCTAATTAACTAAAATATAATTTAATTAAATTCTAGTTAGGAGATGTACTCTATTTTAATTAATTTGAATCATAAATATCATATAGCATATGTGCAACTAGGTACGTATCTCTATGCATATTACTAATTAATATTATGCGAGAAAGGCCTTGCGTGCACAATCTGGCATGAGCTCCATTGCATAATCATGAACTGAGATAAAAGAGTTTGCTTGTCGACAATGTTGATCTCTTTCTCTTGTTAAAACAGGAGCAAAATTAATTTCTCTTAATTATGACTGAAGTGTCTGCCTCCCTGCCTGTGTAGTTCCCGGTCCTTTGAACTAGCGAGTGCTTGGAGATGGACATGCATAATTATGTTGTTTCGGGGTCGGGACACCGTGAGGCGCATTTTGGTCGAGCATTTAGCCGGAATAATCATCCCCCTTTTCCCCTTGGCATCATTACAGTAACACTAATACACTATCTTTTTTTAAGCCTCATTTATCGATCGTGCATGGTCCTAGCTACAACCATAATGGTTTTCCACCCTTTATAATTTATTAATTAAAAATAATTAAGCTGGCTCCAAGTCCAGGCATAATACAGCCCGTGACGACCCCTTTGTCGTGATAATGAAAATCTCGGTTCTCTCGTCACAAAATATGTGAAAATCTATTATATATATTATAGCAATCAACTTGTAAATCCCAATTCATTAGAGTTCTAAAATTAAGATCTAGGAATTAATTAGATTGCTACTTTACCCTATACGTAGCCCGCGTGCTTTAGGTGGAACCAATGGGTTCCTTTGTTTTCTTGCCGTCTGTCGTGATTCATAAAATTCTTCTCACAGGATTTCGACAGTACTGGTTTCCATGGTATTATCACACCCACATGAAAACCAAATTCGAATAAGAACAAGGAGAAGGAGGGTAGAGATTGAAATGATAGATATGTGTTCGTCAATTGAAGGGCGGTTTAATCAACACTAACAATTTGAATACTTGTGTTAGTGATTGTAAAGTAAGGGTTTAACACTTAATTAATCATGCAACTTGGTAAAGTGCCCCATGTTTTGAGTCACGAAAGCACTAAGTGATTGTGGGATCACATTCTCTCCATCTAATTGATTAATTTATGCCATTTCTTAATTAATTAGTATAAATTTAATTAACAGAAAGATTCAGATCTAACTGTATTTAATTGGGGACTGACATCTCTTAGGCGGACAAGAATGTTTCTCAAAGTATACATAAACAAGTCTGTGGTAAGAGTTTGATACGTATAACTCACGAAGAACAAGATGCAAATATTAAGAAATTTAGTAGTTGGCTATAGGCTTGCATCAAATTTTAACCCAAACTTGGAGCGCCTACTTAATTTTATGTATATTCCTGACTCCTGAACAGTTTCCAAAGTTTCCACCAGTACAAATACAATTGAATTGCACAACAGATTAAAGCTGTATTGCCGTCATCTAGTTGAAACAAGGAAGATCAAATTGAGTTCCATCTCGCGTTCCGATTCAAAACTCTTCAGGAAAGGAAAGCAGTATTTATTGTTTAAATTATTGATTTCATCATTAAAATGGCTAGAGAGATCATTCATGGAAAGTAGGAAACATAATGATTAGTATAATTAAAGTTTTATTTAAGATGTGTTTAAATCCTACTGGGAATTTTAAACTCTTGTAAACAATGGGAGGACTAATTGTGGCATAACTTTAACCATTATATATCCACTATTTCTTTTTCTTTTTTTTAAATATATATTTCTAAATTTAAAAAAAAAAAATTATATATAAAGAGTGAAAGAGTAAAGAAAATATTATAGAAGAATGGCTCAACCTTTTAAGGTTGGATTCTAGGTATTTATAATTATTATACAAAGTTACGCAAATATGCAATTAGTTATATAATAGCATATTAGTTGTCTAATTTATAGCCTAGACGTTAGCTGAGAATTTAAATGCCTAAATTATAGCTATGCAATCTATTACAATGTATCAATATCTTGTATCATATAATGCCCCTGTAAGGTGATAAGGAGGATGCCACATCAACTTGTCACGAAAGAAGCAAAAGGTAGATGAAGATAATTCTTTGGTAAAAAGATCAGCAAGTTGATTTGTGGAGTGGATTACCTAAAGGAAACCAGTGGAGACAAGTTCACGTATAAAATGATAAAATAACTCAACTTGTTTGGTTCGAGCATAAAAAACAGGATTGTGTGCCAATTGAGTAGCACCCATATTGTCAGAGTAGAGTGTGTAAGGCAAGGAAGTGTGAAAACCAATGTCCTGAAGGATATAAGAACTCCATAAGATTTGTAGAAACATGAGTAAAGGCTTTATATTCGGACTCTGTGCTGGAGAGTGCAATGGTTACCTATTTCTTAGCACTCCAGGAGGTTAAATTAGAGCCAAGAAAAACACAATGGCCCATGGTGGAGCGGCGAGCATTAGGATATCTTGCTCAATCGGCATCAGCAAAACAAGATAAAGTGGGAGACGAATTGGCATAGAAGCAGATACCAAAACCAAGTGCACCCTTCAAGTACCGTAAAATGCATTTAATAGCTTGGAGATGAGCATCGCGTGGAGAGTGCATGAATTGGTAGACTTGTTGAATAGAGTAAGATATCCCACAAGGTGGTGATATTTATGAGCATCAGGTAACAAAAAGCCATCAGAAATGGAGATTTTGCGACTAGAGTAGGCTGTGGTTTACAGTCAAGCATGCTGGCAGACTTAAGTATAGACAAGAGATACTTAGTTTATGTGAGTTGAAGATTAGTTGAGGCGCGATGAACCTCAAGAGGAAGTAATGAAGGTCACCAAGGTCTTTCATATGAAAGCGTTGAGAGAGCTTATGGACAAAATGATTAATAAGAGATTCTGTAGAACCCATAATAATAATATCGTCAACATAGACAAGCAGCAGCACAGTACCAACAGATGAGTGATTTGTAAAAAAAGAGTTATCAGCCTTGCTAGATTTAAAGCTAAAAAAAATTAAGGTGTGACTAAAACTCTAAAACCACACATGCATAGCTTGACACAAACTATAAATGGAAAGGTGTAGTTTAAAAATATGATCAAGAAAAGAAGAGTGGATAAAACCAGAAGGTTGAGATACATAAACCTTTTCAGCTAAAGCACCATGTAGAAAAGCTTTTTTGACGTCAAGCTGCTGAATACTCTATTGACAAGAGAGACCAATTGATAATAGGATACGAACTATTGTGGCTTTAGCAATTGGACTGAAGGTGTTTGTAAAATCAACTCCCTACTCTTGATTGAAGCCTTTGGCAATAAGACGCACTTTGTAATGTTAGAACCATCAACGTGTTCTTTAATTTTATAAACCCAATGCCAACCAACAATGTTCTTAAAGGATGTAAGAGGCATTAAAGTCCATATCTAATTAGCAAGGAGTGCATGATACTCATTTTTCATTGCAAAAACCTAATATGAATTAAGGCTGGCAGCTTTGAAAGATGAAGGTTCACGAGGGATGAAGGATATAAGTAGTGCAACATATCATTGGGGTAAGGAATAATTACCGGCACAAAAAGCACGAGGTTTACGGATGCTAGCCTTTGCACTAGTAATCATGGGATGGTGATTGGGAATTATCAAAGCTGGGGGAGAAGCAGGCAATGGAGTTGTAGACTGAGTGAGTGGAGCACAAATGTTAGAAGTGGTGAGAGGTAAAATAGCAGCAAGTGAGGAAGATTAAAGTAGTAGAAGATGGAAGTTCTACTCATGAGGCAATGATAGATACATCAGGATGGTTAATAGTTGATAATGAATGACTGAGCAAGGCTGGCTCAAAGGTCATAGCCAAAGGTAACTGTGTTGGAATAATAGAAAGGGAAACAATAGTGGAGTAGCAGAAGTCAACCCATAAGAAAATTCAGTTTCATTGAACACTACATGCTAAGAGATGAAGATACGATCGCTAGAGGAGTCTGAGCAGCGATAACCTTTATGGATAGTGCTATACCCAATGAAAACACAGTGATGTGTTTTAGGAATAAGTTTGTTTTAACCATAATCACCAAGAAAATGGTAATAAGAACAGCCAAAATTCCGTAGAAAACTGTAATCTAGACAAGTACTAAATAAAGCCTCATAAGGGGACCATTCTAAAAGGACCGAAGTTGGCAATCTATTAATTAGGAACATAGCAGTAAAGAAGGCTTCAAGCCAAAAATGTCATGGTAATAATGCCTGATGTAAAAGAGACAAACCGATTTCATAAATATGACAATGCTTTCATTCAGCTATACCATTCTGTTGAGAATTATGAGGGCAAGAAAACCATAGAGAAATGCCATTAGCATCCAAGAATGAATAAAAAATTCCTTCAGCTAGTTCTTTAGCACCATCATACTGAAATAGTTGTAAACGTTGATTAAATTGATTTTCACCTATGTTTTTAAAACTGGTGAAATAGGCAAGACTATAGGAGCGACGCTTCATAGGATAAAACCAACAGTATTTGCTATAATCATCAACAAAAATAATATAATAACGATAGCCAGATGTAGTAACCATAGGAGAGGGTCCCCA